AAGTAAGTCTAGAAGATTAGCAAATAGTTGATTGCATAAGATAGAGTTCTTCTTTTGACACTATCGCCTAGATGATCCTCCGAATGAAAATGATGTTGTCTTATTATCACATGACTTTGATCTCATATATGCGTACTATTTATCTATCTTCAATGTTTTTTTATCATGCTCACACATCTTCCTCATATGAGAATCGTGGACCTACAATGCCATTTGGCGATTGGTCTACTAATAAATGCGTTTAAATCAAAAGAAACGTTTCGTAGCTAGAATATAATTAACAACAACACGATAGATAATAGATTAGTAATCTTGCTCAATGGACCCACGTACTACTATTGTCCTTAGATGAAAATGATTCGCATTTTAAGAATTTCTCGTTGATGCACATATCATTCATTCTCGTCAAATGCTAAAACAATTTCATGCACAATAGCAAGGAGCTGACTAACAGTTGAATGTCGACGTCAAAAACACATGAAGATAGTGTTTAGGGCTTGATCTTTTTCACTATTCGATGTTCAACGATCTCTTCTATAAAAATGGTAAGAATCGCATATTTTTATCTCTTTTCTAGTAGAATTTATTTCAAAAACATTGGACTGTATTATATCTTGACTTCGATAGTAGATCTATTTACCATAAAAAATTCAGACTGTACGGAAATATCGGTTGTAAACTGATTTCATATGGATTTAGGCATATGCATTTTCAAAGTAGATACTAGGTTCAACTGATTTTCAGGTAATTTAGGATTTTCGCATAAACATAAGGTGAAGGGACAGTACCAAAAAGGAACATGGAAAATAAAGAAAAGCTACAATACTAAATTCGTGTGAAAAGATAAGGATTTTTCTCTTTACCTTCGACATGTGGTTCTTTACCCTGTAAAAAAGAAACAACTTGTTGTTTAAATAAAAGTCAGCAATTGGTATATAACATATCGATAAGATAAAAAAGAAGATCATTCTTGTTTTAATATAAATACTGCTTACTCCAAACAGACAACATGTTTTATCCACAATATGGATGTGAAATTTGTTGTAATTTTACTTTTTGTTGAACTGGCTGCACTTAGATTTAGTATTAAACATATCATTGAAAAAGAAATAGATCTTTATGATATATTTGATCATAACCCAATGATAGTTAATATATCAAATGTAAAGTATCAATGTTTTGAGAAAATAAATCATTGTCTTTATAATTAATTCAAGCCATTTACGATTTATAAATATTATACATTTGATATTAATTTGTGTTACAATTCTATCTTATATAGGTTTATTGATTATTTTGATACTTAAAAAAGTTGATCTTATATTTGAATTGTATGATACTACAAAAATTAGTCCATATAAATGGTCAAAATTATTTATATTAATGTCAGTTGGTATTAATTGTTTTTTATTAGGTTTACATTATCATTTTGAAAATATTAATACCCAGCTATGTAGTCAAAATAGTAAAATAATACGTATAGAAAATTTATCAACGTATATTATTATAAATGTAATGGAAGTTTCTTATTTATTATTTGATTTTATGAAGCATGATAAAGATGCTCAATAGAAGCAACATTATATGATCAATATCAACAGTAGATGAACCAAAGTTCGGAAACAAGTTGTTTATTATCCGAATTATACGATAATAGTGAATTATCTGTCAAATTTAATATGTCTTTGAATTAGTTTCAAGTTGTGCATGTGTGCTTTTTTCAAGGATAAGAAGAATTTCGTGTAAATAAATTTTACTTTTATTTGAAATAAAAAGTTTGCCAAAAAGAGTTTTTGGACTCAAAATTGGGCATAGAGAGGATATTGATCTATCGCATGATTTATTATATTCTATAATAAATTTATTTTGTTCTAAATTTTCTATGTATCTATTATATTTACGGGCTCTGCCGGTGTTTTCAAACTTTTTCTATTATCTTAAGTTCATAGTCGTTCAATTTTGGTTCTCTATATGTGGTTTTGCATGGAAAGCTAGAAAACTGTTCCAACATGAAAATAATTATAAGAATGAAAACTTTGATTATGTTTAAAACCTTCTTTGGTTTTGCTTGTTTTCAAAAAAATTAATATTTTGAAATTTTTTTATCTAAAAAAGTTTTCCGATAGCCTGTAAAGTACTTTTTCCCCAGTAGCTCGACGAACTCTATCATTCATATGATCTGCTTCAATTTCGAATTTCTTTATCTCAAAAGTTGAGCATAGCATCTCAAAACGCGATCATGCCTAATAAATCAGTTTTGACCAACATACGAAGTCTTCTGCACATTACATGCACAGCTGCATGAGTACTACCTACAGCTTTACTTTTCCTTAAAGTAATCTTTCAATTCTTAGAAGCTTTTTGACTATGCTAAACAATAGTGAATACCACATGCGTATAATCGACACAGAAAGCTAATCGACGTGAACTCGATAGAAAACATCTTCTCACAACAATTTCCTGAGGCTAGCTATTCTTCTTGTCGCACACACGTCTGTACACCTCTACTCAGCTTTTCGGCATGAGTAAAGGATTGATGCTAATAAATTATTGAAAATTGTCAAGAGATCGGATCAATGCCGATTGTACAGCTAGAATGGTCTAAAAAATGAAAACATCAAGAGCAATTTCATGGAATATTTAAAAGTTTTTTTCTTGTCGATTTCATATAAAATTCTCCCCTCTGAACTGTGCTTACATCTGCAAAATTAAACATATAGTCTCATCGTCTACACCTGTATGCAATTTTTCATTTTCATTGCGCTTCTACGACAATAATCTTTAAAACATCATTTCCTTTTAATTTCAATAATCATAAACAAAGAAAAAACACTACTGATTTCTTTTCTTCATCTATTTTGCGTACATTCTTTGTGCCTAAAAACTAATTTTTTTCCATACTTTTTGCCACTGTGCGTCTCTATTAAATCTCGTTTTCCTATGGTAGGGAAGGAGAGCATGAACGAGAAAGAGTATTGATATTGAAAAATTTGTTTGGTGTTTTGAAAGAACTAGAACCGTCTTCTGATTTATTAGTTGGTGACTATGATTAGGAGCTGAAGAGTGATTTTTTTTTGTTACTATCGACATCCAATGAAGTTAGTAAAATGATTGACGAATTAATGAAACGTATCGCTACAAGAAAATCAAAAACTGTCAGTAAAAATTCTGTTAATGAATTAGGAATAACAACATAACTTATGTTACACAAGTTGTGTATGTTCTTATTATTTTGTCAGCATAAAAATTTTCGTGACGTGCTTCTTGTCATTAATGGTGGAGTACCAGATATTTCATCATTATTAATGAAATATGTTCCATATTTATAATAAACAATTCTTTAAAAAGCAAAATATAATTAGAATGACTTTATGAAGAATACTGTTAGTTGAAAAGCCTTGGGTTTCTTCCAAATGACATGAAAAAAAGAAAAGAGAAAGAAAATAACTATATATTATTTTTTCTTTTCTCCCATTAATTCTTATTACAAACCAACCCTAAAAGTTCGTTTGTTTGTTTTCACAGCGGTACGCTGCACACGAAAGAGTTTATTTTTGTTGTTTCTTATTTCTTACTTACGTCAAATTTATTACAAAAACAGAAGGAAACAGATAAAAGCATTTAAAGATTCGCAGCGTTTGCACAGTTGTAGTGAAGGCTGTAATGGAACAACACATTCAATACTTTACAAATGTACTTCTTTCTGGTAGTTCAAAGGAGGGTGAGTCGGCTAGTAATCACTTTCGACGTGATCAGAAACTCCAAGATATAAATCTGATGTATGAAATTGGACATATTAGTTCAAACGAACAAATTTTATCCGCTGGTATATGTGCATCTGGTTCTGTATACATCAGAGCATCATCCAATGACAAAAGTGATTTTCTTCCATGTGAAACGATTGACGACGGCGATCAACAACAGCAATTCGTGAACGGTTTTAATATAAAACAACAGTTTGCTGAAGGTATAAAAACGAAGATGAATAGTGTTGATCTGGTTCATAAACGTAAATATAAGGTGTCGCCTGAATCGGCAAGTATCGAAATACTAACAGAATTTGACATTCGAGAGAATCCAAAATTATGTCAGGACTTATTGGAATATGTTGAAATACTAAAACAACAACAATCTGTTGATCCGAGTAAAATGGGAAAGTTCGCTCAATTTTGCGAGTGTGAAAAGGAATATTTGTTGACAAAAGTTGCTCCTGTAATGAACATATACAATTTTACAATGGTCAATGAAAATTCTTTTCATGACGATATTCATTCTGCGCTAAGTCCAGCATTTGACTAACGTCTTACGGATGATATTCGAGAAAAAATTGTTACATTGTTGAAGTTTTATTTTAAATACCGACATCTGGCATTGACCTTTAGTATGATATCGAATCAAATAAATATAAAGGATCCAAATTCGCCTGATCTCGATTTTGTGCCAGCACTGAAACTTGATTTTTGGCCAGACGTTTTTGGATCGTCTTCAAGCAAAAAGACCTTTAATGTTCGAAAAAATCGAACCGGTACACATGCACGTCATTGCTAAATGGTCAATGAAAACATCGGATAAGTATAAGAATGTGAAGTTTCGTTATTCATTTTCTACTATTGAAATAGTTTTAGCTGAACAACGTCCACTTGTTGAACAGATTCTGAATCGAGTGGCACGAGGTTTGTATTACAAATATTTACATAAAAATTATAAAACAGATGACGGCAAATATTTACCTTCCTATTTCGTTAAAACAACTGTATTGTGGATGTGTGAAACAATGGATTTGGATCAAATGTTCACTCTGGCCACAAGCAATGAGAAAGTTTTGGCTGTAAGACTAGCGAACAAATGGATTGCTCATGCCTGTTCAGTAATGTATTCTCAAAACTGTCTACATTATTTTATTAAAAATTTGAATATAATTGACGAATATCCGAAGGAGTTTCTCGATAAAGCCTGTCATGCACTTCAAACGGAGGTTAATTTCAGCGATGATTATATAACGCCATTGGACATACCGCCAGTTTCACTGAGTAATGATGAGCTGTTTGATAAGGTTTCAAAGTGTATAGATTTATGGGCGAATCCTGAATTCGCTCAAGATAGTCAGCAACTTTGTTTGGAACTAATGGGATCAACAACTATCGACAATATCTATGAGGAAGAAGACGAAATGGGTGGTGCACGGTGGCAATCTATATTAGCAATATTATCGCTTGCTATGTACGACACTATTGAAATGAATAATTGGAAAAAATGGAAGAAATTGTTTCTAGATGATATTTCATCAGCGTTACCAACGCTGTATTCAGAGGGATTAGGAGAACAATCAAAAAAATCTCCCTTATATATTGCAACTTTACTCATGCCACTCATGCTAGTGAAATAAATAAATGAAAGTATTTCAAATGAGAAGTTTTTTGAACAACTTTCAAACACATACTCAAGGGAATTTCAAACAATTCCTAATCTTCAATCGGTGCTGACATCAAGAAATGTTCCATTGTTGTTGCAATCAGACAACAACCAACCATATCGTCGAACAATCATCGAAGATCCAAAAGATGATATCAATAACGTGCAAGATCATTGTAATCAAACGATAGCTGCTGGTTTTCAGCATTATTTGTATTCAGATAGAATAAAAAGAGATAAAAAATTTTCAAGGATTCGAAAAGCATCTCCATTACCTAAAACAAAATTTCGAAATAACATTGAAAAATCTATACCATTTGATAATGGCCCAATATACGACGAAGAACATCCAGTTTTACATTACAAACAACTCCATATTAAGGGTAAGTTCCAAAATTCTAAAAGGCTTTCTGATATTCGGAACATAATTCAGAACATGAATTGGTTGATCACTTACAAAAGTTCAATTCAACAACCAAGACTAACAAATGCCAGGTGAGAAGTCCTTTCTATTTTTGTTACTGTGGTACATTTATGAATGAGTACGGCTGAGACGGGCATATGAAAGATTTTCATTTTCCATTAAATCAGAAAAAGCTTTTGTCTTTGCTGCTGTCGAGCAAAAGACATTTTTTTGCGGCTTTAGTGATCTCCAGTGTCTTCGCAGATTCTTGAGACCTGTAAAAGAGCAAGCACACAGCAGGGTGGGGAGAATTGCAGCAAAAATCTCTTGAGGTGAGGCCTCAACAATGCTTTCTTCCTCTTACGTCTTTTAAGTCACAATGCCAGAAATTCCACAAAAAAATCGGTCACACAAAAATGCCTTTTATTTTCACCTCTTGTTCTCTCTCTCTCTCTCTCTTTCACAGAGGGCTGCGCGATTACAATTACAAAATGTAAAGTTCATACATTGCTATTATCTGTAGAATTAAGAATTCTAGAATTTTGAACTTTACATACATGTAAAGTTGCTTATTCACACTCATTCTCACCATCACCCCCACATTCACCCCTAGAATTCAGAATTTTAGAAAATTCTGAACAAGTAAAGTTCAACTTTACATACATGTAAAGTTCATAATTCTAGAATTCTTAATTCTACAGATAATAGCAATGTTTGAACTTTACATTTTGTAATTGTAATCGCGCACGTCTGCTTTCACAAATGTACTTCAGGTACAGCCCGTTTGTACAGATATTTTAATAGAACAGAATGGCCATAAATTCTCGAAAATACTCGAACTTTTTTTTTTTTTCTCCTCAAAATTTTCATCAGATTTTAA